TTTTTTTTTTTTTTTTTTTTTTTTTTTTAATGTATATTGACTTCAGATTATCTCTACCATTTAAAAGTTTTTTAAAAATTTTAAGGAAATTAATAAAATTTTAAAAAATTTAATGGCATTTTTCGAAAAATTGAAAAGTTAAATGATATTTTTGAAAGCAATATTATATAAGGTTACTTTTCAAATCAAATAAAATGTATATTAATCGTGATATCATTTAAAATTTAACCTCAAACGATGCTAACTGTCCGATCCGTTTACTTTCTTAGATTCCAAGTTAATAATATCTATTAAGAAATGAAATCGAGTGTTTTGCTTCAATTGTGTACACTCTTGCAGCGTTGAACCCGCCTGTTTCTGATGATCAAACGGATAAGAGGGAGCTGAAAATGGAGGCGAACCGACAGAGATGGGGACCCAGCTGATGAATTTGGAGAGAATGGAGGGCCAGGATGAAAATGGGTCCAGGAAAGAATGGTGGGTTTGAATGTAGAGGATCGAGATGGCGTCATTGACCTGAGGAAAAAAGAGAATGGTATTGGAGGGAATGGGTGAGGAGTTTAAGTCTGTTCAAGTGGTGTTAGCTCGACGAAGAAAGGTAGCCATATTAAGCGAATCTGTGGCTCTTCAGAGTTGAGTTTGGGGCGTAGGTTTTAGCGTATAGAGGTAGAAAAATAGGAATTAAGGAACAGAAATTTACAAAGGAAAAGGCGTTTTTGTGAATCTTGTGTATGAAGAGACCACTGAGAGAGAGAGAGAGAGAGAGAGAGATAGATAGGGAGTTTTGAGTTCTGTTGTGGCTTGATGATCCATGTCGAAAATGAAGCATCTTCTTCGAAAGCTTCACATCGGTGGGGGACTTAATGAGCACCAGCGATTGAGCGATTCCCAACCCGCGACGCGACCCACTTCGACCCCATGCCCCAATAGTAATTCATCGGTGTCGCCTTCTTCTGGGTCCTCCTCCTCTGTGGCTATGCCGTCTTCCACTACAATGGAGGCCGTTGAATCGGTGGTTGATCGGACGGCTTCTGGCGATGTGGATGGTGGCTGCGTCGATTTCAATGCCTTGGAGGAAGAGTTTCAGATGCAATTGGCTATGGCGATTAGCGCTTCCGATCCTGATTCGAGACAAGACACTGAGTCCGCTCAGATCGATGCCGCTAAGCGGATGAGCCTTGGCTGTTCGCCTTCCATCTCCGGCAGTAAAGCCCTCGCTGAATTTCTCTCCCTACAGTATTGGGTATTTCTCACTTTAACTTCCTTTCTTGAATTTAGGCATTTTTGTTCAACTTCTTGGTTTTGATTGTTCAATAGCGGGAATTGCAATTTCAATTTTATCTCATCATTATTCACTATACATCTTTCGATCTTGGGCAGTTCTTTTATCTCTTGGCATTGAATTTTTGAACAATCGCTATTAAAATCGCTGTTTAACTGGCGACGTCTCATTTTCAGTTTAAAAAAGCTTTGCATATTAGGTCATCGGTTTGATTGATGCGTGAGGAATTACCATTTTCTATCTTAGGTATTCTCCTTGCTTGAATTATTTTCATGGTCGAATATAAATTCCTGCATTGTTGTCGGCCGTTATGTTCTAATCTTTATTTGAAAATTTGGAGGATTGTTAGGAACATCGTTATCATTTGGAGAGTCATGACAAGATTTTCTGGTTTGTGCCTGTCTCATCACATGTCCTGGTTTGTTAGCATCCTATGTGTTCAATTCTAATATTGTTTGTCTGGTTTTGTTATGATTTTTGGTATAAACCCTAAACCCTTTTTGAATATTAGGGCTTTCTTTTGGAGTTATGTTGCCAGGGATAATTTGTACTACATCTTGACTGCTAGAAATTATTTTATTTATGTATACAAATCTATGTTTCTATACTTATCATAACATATTGTCAAATGAAGTTTATTGTTTTTGCTATTATCGATATCGTTAGTCGTGGCAGCAGCAGTTACATAACTACTTTATCTATCAATGCAGAGCTATAATGTTGTAAATTATGATGAAAAAGTGATGGATGGATTTTATGACTTATATGGCATTACTGCGAACTCTAGCACCCGAGGAAAGATGCCACTGTTAGTGGATCTTAAACAAATATGTGTTACAGGTGATATTGATTATGAAGTGATTTTGGTGAACCGCTTGCTTGATCCTGAGCTTCAACAGTTGGAGAGACAAGCATATAACATATTCATGGATTGCGGAGTTTCTGAACATGGCTTCATTTTAAGTGGCCTGGTTCAAAAACTTGCTGATGTAGTTGTTGCTAGAATGGGTGGTCCTGTTGGGGACGCTGAAGAAATGTTGAGAAGGTGGACCCTCAGGAGTTATGAGTTGCGTAGTTCTTTGAACACGATTATTCTACCACTTGGACGCCTTGATATTGGACTTGCACGTCACAGAGCTTTGCTTTTTAAGGTCGCGAACTTCCACTTTATACCTCTTACCATTTATTTTCTTGAACTAGTGCGATACGTCTTGGGCATCATGGTTTCTTTGGCTTTTCAAAATTTCGATACCACCCCCTTTTAGGAACAACGATCAGAAATGTTATAGTTCTTGCTGATATCTTTTTCTTTCCTTTATTTATTTTTTATTGAAGTTGCTTACTTCGTAATTTTGGTATTAGGTGCTAGCTGATAGGATTAATCTTCCATGCATACTTGTCAAAGGAAGCTACTACACTGGTACTGATGATGGAGCTGTGAATATGATCAAAGTTGATAATGGAAGGTAATTACCAATGATTGAATCTCTTTTTAGTCTAGTTTACAATTTCTTCAAGAAATAGAGTGGATTCAGTTGCAATGATATAATACCTTGGTGATAGTAGAAACATTCTTCTGAGATGGTGTTGGTGACTAATGCATTTGGGATGCCTACAATATCTGATGCACCTAAAAAAGTGTCCCTTTTTTTTTTGAAAATTTTGTTTAATAAATTTTTGCATGATAGAATGTAACAACCTAAACCCACCGCTAGCAAATATTGTTCGCTTTGGCCCATTACGTATCGTCGGCAGTCTCATAGTTTGAAAACACGTCTGCTAGGGAGAGGTTTCCACACCCTTGTAAGGAATGCTTTGTTCCCCATCTCCAACCGATGAGAGCCCAGCGTCCTCGCTGGACACCGCCCGGTGACTGGCTCTGATACCATTTGTAACAACCCAAATCCTCCACTAGCAGATATTGCGCTTTGGCCCGTTATGTATTGCCGTCAGCCTCACGGTTTTAAAACTCGTTTGCTAGGGAGAAGTTTCCACACAAGGAATGCTTCGTTTCCCTCTCCAACTGATGTGGGATCTCACATAAAATAAATGTACAATATGCTAGAAAAGGCAAAAGCAGAGCATACGGTAGATTACAATTAGGCCTAGCACAAGGGATGGGTTTGAGGAAATTTTATGGACTTAGCAATTGGAAGTGCAATCATCAATATAATACAAACATAAGGGCAACATTGCAAATAGGAAAATAATGCCTCAAATATATATTTTCCCTTCTACATTTTCTGGAAACTACTTCATCATCCTCTCTGTGTCCTGCTTGTTCCTAAAAGAAAATATTGGTTGTGTTTGCCCAATCTTTTATATTCATATTCCACGATTATCATCATGCACCTCTGTATGCAATCTAATCTAATTAATACGTATAGTATCACAGGGAGCTCTAATATTTACATATGATTTATTCTATGATGCAGTGA